CTTTCAACGAAGTATGAGATTTAAAAGTTCACCAGAGTGAACGATTTCGGTGTGTGGCACTTGAAGATGAAAGTCTTACTAGTTCAACAGGGTTTCTTGAAAGCGTTTAAGGGAAACACGGTCATGAACGTTGCGTTAACGGAAATTGAAAAGATGACCATGATAGAGAAAGCCGACAATGCAGTATTGTTGAACCTTGGTGATAAGGTTCTTCTACAGGTATCAAAGGAGACTACGGCGTCAGGGTTATGGTTGAAACTTGAAAGTCTATACATGATCAAATCTCTAGTGAATCGACTCTACCTGAAGCAAGATTTGTATTCATTCAAGATGAGTGAAAGCAAAGTGTTGGCTAAACAGTTTGATATGTTCAATAAGCTGATCTTTAATCTTTAAAATTTTGATGTGAAGATCGATGATGAAGATCAAACATTGCTGCTGTTGTGCGTTTTGCCCAGAACACATGCTCACTTCAAAGAAACTCTTGTATGGAAGAGAGTCAATGACCTTTTAAGAAGTTCTGTCAGCCTTGTACTCTAAGGATTTGAACGAGCGAAAGGAGCATAAACCTTCGATGGTTGGTGAAGGTTTGATCGTTAAGGCAAAATTCTTGCAAAAGGATGGTAAGTTCGACAAGAAGAAAGGTAAAAGTCAGCAGAAGTCTTATAGTGGCGACGCATCTGATATTCGATGCTATCACTGTAAGAAGGAGGGTCACATAAGAAAGGTGTACCAAAAACTCCTGAAAGATCATGTAGGTAAGGATAATGGCAACGCAACCATTGTTCAAGATGACTTTGACTCATATGATTTTCTTGTGGTTTCAAGCGGCGGCTCGAGAAAATAGTGAATTATGGATTCAGGTTGCACTTGGCACATGACTCCAAACGTAGAATTGTTCGAGGAGCTATGTGATCAAGATGGGGGATCAATGATGCTGGGAAACAACAAAGCTTGCAAAATTGTAGGTATTGGTCGAGACATCCATCAAATCTCGACATATTGAGAGTATTTGGTTGTGCGGCCTATGCTCACATTAGGCAATATAAGGTCGAACATAAAGCTCTGAAATGCATGATCATGCGATATCCTGAAGGAGTCAAAGGTTATACGCTATGGTTCCTAGAGCCAGGTTACAGGAGGTGTATCACCAGTCGAGATGTAGTTTTCAATGAAGATGAGATGTCCTTCAGGAAAACTGATGATGCTGACGAAGAGCTGGAACATGGAGAGATTCCTATTAAGGTGGAGCTTGTTGATGCTGAATTGCGTATCCCAGATGAAGTCGAAGAAGAAGTAGAAGATACTAAGGAAGATGAGGAAACTGTCGATGACTACCTATTATCAAGAGATAGGTCGAGGAGAGTCATCAAGCCACCTCAGAGACTTGGGTATGTAGATCTTATAGCTTATGCCTTAATCTCTACAAGTGAGGTTCTAGAAGAAGAACCTAGAGACTATAAGGAAGCTATAAGGAGTCAAAATAAGACTGAATGGATGAAGGCCATGAATGATGAAATGAGATTTCTTCATGATAACAACACTTGGGAACTGATCAAGAAAACTGCTAGAGCCATGTTAGTCAGTAGTAAGTGGATTTTCAAAGTTAAGGAAGGAATCAAAGGAGTGGGGTCGAAGATATACAAGGCAATATTGGTCGCTAGGGATTTCACTCAGAAAGAAGGTATCAACTTCAATGATATGTTCTCTCCTATTATGAAGCACAAGTCTATTCGAATGCTGTTTGCCATGGTGGCACAGTTCGACCTTGAACTAGAACAAATGGATGTGAATACGACATTCTTGTATGGTGATCTAGATGAAAAAATCCTGATGAGGCAACCTGAAGGGTATGTCGAAATGGGGAAGCAAGATTATGTGTGCAAGCTGAAGAGATCTTTATATGGACTGAAAAAATCTCCTCGACAGTGGAATAGGAGATTCGACAAGTTCATGGCACGCATAAGTTTCATTAGAAGTCAGTTTGACTAGTGTGCTTACTTCATATTTCGACCTGTTAATTCATTTGTTATTTTGTTGCTTTATATGGATGTTATTCTAATAGCAAGCAACAATGTCGAAGATGTAATGAGGGCGAAGGCTAAACTCAATAAGGATTTCTACATGAAGGATCTATGAGTTGTATCCTGGATTCTTGGGATTGACATCTAAAGAGATAGAAATGAGTCGAAATTATGTTTATCTCAAGACGCATACCTATAGAGGATTCTCAAAAATTTTGGTATGTCGAATTTAAAGCCTGTTGTGGCTCTGACAAACCCTTAAATCAAGTTGAATATAGATCAGTGTCTCAATATTGATGTCGAAAGAGCTTATATGAATAACATTACATATGCTAATATAATGGGTTCTTTGATGTATGCTTTGGTATGTACTAAACCCGACATAGCATATGCAGTATGTCTTGTAAGCAGGTACATCGCAAATCCTGGAAATGCTCACTGGAAAGCATTGAAGTGCATTCTAAGGTACATAAATGGATCTCTGAATAGAGTCCTAATTTATGGTGGAACCTTAGGTGAAGATAGTAAAGTAACAATCGAAGGATATGTCGACTTTGACTATGCATGTTGTTTGAATCTCAAAAAATCTATTTCTGGATATATGTTCATTATGTTTGGCACAACAATTAGTTGGAAAGTAACACTTCAGAATATTGTTGCCTTATCAACCACTGAAGCGAAATATATCACCCCTAACTAAAGTTGTGAAGGAAGCATTGTGACTTGAAGGTTTTGCAAAGAAGCTGAATCTTCAAGGTCGAGTTATCACTGTTAAATGTGATATTCAAAGTGCAATACACCTTTCGAAGAATTCAGCCTATCATGAGCGAACCAAGCACATTGATGTGAGACTGCATTTCATCAGAGGGTTAATCGAGCATGGAGAATTGCAAGTGCTGAAGGTTTCAACAGATCATAATGTTGTTGATATGATCACCAAGACATTGCCCAGTTGCAAGTTTTTTCCACTGTATGCAGTTTAAAGAGATGCATGAAGAAAGCTATTTTTTTTGATGTTATAGAGTTTATTCCAAGGTGGAGATTTGTGAGATATTGAATCGAACTCTAGTATGCTCGAAGGTAGCTTCTTGGTTCGACAGCTCGACAGATGTTTAGTATGCATTCGAAAGTCGTTCACATATTGTTGTCGAAGTAGTGTATGATGTAGTCGAAGTAGGATCAAGCATGCAGTTGTCGGAAATGCTAGATTTATTAGCATGTTGAATTGGGCTTATTTGTTACGTCCAATTGTTTAAACTAGCTTGTACCCTAAGTTATCTTGTAATGGGTAATTGTTAAGAAGTCCATTAGTTTAGTACGTTAGATTTTATTATAAATAACATACTAATCTCTCATTTTAAATGTGACAAATCCTAATTAGGGTGAGTGGTTTATTTGTTATTCTTGATACTTGTAATCTGATTTAAAAAGAAAGTAAAGAATAGCAGTTATAACAAATTCTTATTGTTTTTCTTGTTTTTCGTTAACCCTAATCTTTGTGTATTTCTTGATCATAAAGAAATCATTTATACTTTGTTTCAAGACATCGTTTTTCACAACACTTTTCTTGATTTCAAATCCATCTTAACAAACCATTGAAAGAGTACACATAGTTCTAGCTCTCGCAATGTTTCCATAGACTAGCTTCCTCCACATGACCATTTGGTTTTGTTCCTTGATAGCAAAATGCATATTCCTAGTTTAATATTTACAATGTTGCAATATGTTGTCCCATTACTAAAGATGCATTACTGCCTACCTCTGATTGAAAATATATGTCAAGATCTAAGAACAATTTGTTAAATATAATTCATTGTGATTTGATATGATTAGATTTGATATCATATGATTAGATTTGATATCATATGATTAATTTGATATGATTAGATTTGATATCATATGATTAGATTTGATTTAGAATATTTTGGGCCTTTTATGTTTTGGGCTATTGTAAACCTAAAACTATAAATAGGGTGTCTTGCTTTGTATTCTACATCACAACAGAACAGATTTCACAATTGCAGTTAGCAAGTGAAAGTTCAATAAGAAATCTCACAGTTGTGGGTAACACATTCTCTCCAAATACTTCTTCTCTCATTCTTCTCTTTCTTGTTTGTTATTCTTCTTCTCTTTTGTTGTTCTTGATAATTACTTGTTATTACCATCATTATCATATTGTGGGTTTGTTCATCAATCTTGAGATCAAGATTGAAGGGAATTCTTCATAGGGTGTGAGGTGAATTTCCAACACAATTAATCCTAACCAGGACAATCATGATATCCATGTTTTTAGTGTAATAATAATGGATCCATACGTTATCAAGCTTACCACATAAGTTTTAGAGAAGCTTGATCAAGAAAGCTTTATTCCAATCTTCAAGCGGAATAATATTTAGACCACCCATGTTTCTAATATACCCATGTTTCAAATATAAAAAAAATAAAAGAATTATAGAGGAAGCACCAACTGAATCAGCGCTTTCTATATTTTCTTAAACTTTCTATCAGCTATATGGGGATTTACCTACATGTTTTATGTTACTTGTGCATTCAGATGCGAACTTACCTACAGATTATTTTAATTTTATATAAGTAACATCAAATTCTTTAGGAAAATCCGCATATAGTTGAAAAAATTAAAATAAATATAGGAGACAATTCTTTAATTATTTTTTTTGAAACATGGATATATTAAAAATTATGGAAAATATTGGTTATTTTTAGTATTAAAATTTAAAAGCTTGACTATTTACATAAAATTTTCAACAAAACCCCTCATAAAATTTTTAAAGTAGAAAAATGATTTAAAAGAGAGGATATGGTTAACTATTGATGCAACAAGACATTATGGGATAGTGGGGCTCACATTTTAATACTAATAGTTGGATGACTGTTCGATTTTTAAAACATTTATATATACAAACACAACTTAATCAATATATTTCAAGCATAAGAGAAGAAGAGAAGATAGAAGCCATGGAAGCAACACATCCTCTTTCTATTCAAAGTTTTTCATATACTTGGTTACTCAACCTTAAACCATCCCTTGAGCAGAGCCTCGAAACTTCTTCTTCCTTTAGAATTTCTACTGATGCTTCTGATGAATTAGGTTCTTCTTTCATTGAAATGGATCCAAGAATGCCATCTTCTAGAAGATTCTTTGTAACCTCACAAGATTTCAAATTTGACTTCCCAATTTCACAAGAATCTTCTCTCAATACTCTTATTGATGCTGATAAACTCTTTTCCAATGGTTACTTAATGCCACTTTTTGATGAATCATTGAAGAACATTGAACCATATGAATATGATTCATCAAATTCAAATTCAACCTTACCTTCTTCTTTCATATCACATGTACCAAAAAAAGTGGTTTCTTTAGAAAATTCTAGAAATTCTTCATTGAAAAGGTGTAGAACATTATCAAGGAGAGTGTTTCAAAAGTATTTGAATTTCTTAAAACCTTTGTGTAGAAAATTGAGGGGTCAAAAATCAGGATCATCAAAGCATGAAAATGGTATGAAAAGAACTCAATCAGTGAAGAATTATAGAGGAAGTTACTATGAATCATCTCCAAGAACGAGTGTTGCTTGTTCCACGGACAATTGGCGCATGTCTTGTGATTCGGATAGTTCAATTTATGAAGCAGTTCTTCATTGCAAAAGATCTATTGGTATGTTCAAAAAATAATTCAAATTTCATGTTTATGTTAATAGATTTATTTACATATTTTTGAGACTAATAGTTTTCTTTTTCACAATTTATTGCAGAAAGCATGAGTTAAGGATGTTGAAGTGCAAATCAGTGTTTTGAAAAAGGATAGTTCAATTTATTGCAGAACCATTGGATGTAGATCTTTGAGCACATATTCTGTAATAAAGGTTTCAGCATGTGTTCTTTAATTAAGGTTTAAAAAAAGTCTGTTGTAAAAGAATTGTTCTAAACTATCGTTGTTAAGGCACCACACATATACATATATCTTTTCTAGTTCATTAATAGTACTTATTATATATTTAAACTTTCCTAGTCACTTAGAAATTCCAAAAATCTTTTTTTTTTGGGTCATATATGAACGGCACAAACTAATCGATTTATTGGTGGCTTGAATCAGATTGTTGAGCCTTATCCAATGCCTCTCTTCCAAATCTCTATTAAAACTTTGTATCCCCCTTAAGTTGAGATGGTCAAAAGCTCCTTCACTTACTATTTATTAATTCTTTACTTTTAAGATATTTTTTTAATGTGCTTGAGAGAGGAATCGGTAGTTTGAAAAACTCGGTTCCTCTTGAGTTAATGGTGCAGTTGATGTGGATGTACCGGAGACACGGGTTCTTTTTGTTGGGGCCATTTCAACTGAAACAAAAGGAAACTGTGTAATGTATAGAAAAATATAAGATGAAAGTGATTTTGAAAGAGTTTGAGAGTAAAATGAGTAATGAATAATAAGGTTGTATAGAACAAATGCTGCAAATTTCTTTTTATAGGCACTTTTTCTGACCCATCGCGACCATTAAGAAGGCCATCGTGATCGCAATGAACAATAGTTCCTTCCAACGGTCAGTATTCCTAACATCTTTCTTCAACATCTCTATAGTGGCTACGATATAAAGTATCGCGATTGCGATGAGTTTTTATCGTAACCATGATGGGTGTATCGCGGTCGTGAATATTCTAGTAGCTAATCAATCTTCTTTTCTTCAATTTTTGGCCTTATTTTGTTTCTCTTTTTTTCTCTTGGTTCTTTTTACACGCAACTTCACATGCCATCGTGGTATAAAATAAAATACGATTAAATGAATTAATATGACATTTAAAATGATAACAAAATAAAATTTTATGTGATTGGTTGTCTCCCATTAAGCACTCTTTTAAAATCACATTACTACAAAATGTATATTGATAACGTGAAAATATATCGTTTATTTCGACTCAGTTCGCATGCAATTTAATGTCGTTTTATTTGTTTTTCATATTATTATGTCGTGTTATGTTTGTGTTTCAGGTAATTGTCGAATAAGAACATCTGTGCGAGAAAATCGGAAAAAGAGTAAGAAAATGAAGTAGAGTAAATTCTACCAATTTACTTATATGGCGTTTGCCGTGAGCAAATGATGTTCGTTGTGAGAGAAAATGGCGTCCGCCATGAGCAGACGGCGTTCGCCATTGCGCTGCAGACAGTAGTTCTGCAAAAATGGGCAATTTTTCAACCGCTTTTCCCTCCACTTGCTGACACGACCAAGGGAAGTTACAAGGGGATATTTCGCTATAAATAAGACCTAGATGGATGTTTCTGAGACATCTAAGACGCGTGGAAGCGCTGCCGACATTTCGTTCATAGTTTTAGGCAGAAATTATCATTGTAAAAGTGGTAGTTTTCTCATATCGAGGAACTGTCACACCATTAGTGTTTAGGCCTACAATATATGTAATGCTTGAATCAAAAATCTTATCTTCAATTTAATTTCAGTTTTTTATCTCAGGTTTATTTACTTTTACCAAAATTTATTTTCCTGCTTTTAGTTTCTGCAATTTACATATACGCTTTATCTTTCTGCCGTTGTTATCATTTCAAACTTTTACCTTTTTTCTTCAATCGCTGATTTAATTTACTTTAAACCACTTACTATGTCTTTATTTAATTCAAAAACCCAAAATTATTTATTTATTTCCACAACCATGTTTGAATAAATTGTCTTCAGACCGGCGTATGCGGATTGTCGTTACCGACGGGACTCGATAGAAAATAATAGGCGCGAAATGATAGTAAATTCTGTTTTGATTTTAGTTTCTAATTATAAGTTTTAATGTTTTGTCACGAGAGTGAAAAGCATATTAGGGTTTGAGCTGATAACGCTAGAGTGTGAGGATTGAACAAGATAGTGGAAACTACGCGTCGATCCTAAAAACGGCGAAAGCACTTTAGGTATCGATTAGGATCTAATTGATATTCAAAATATGATTTCTAATTAAAACGGGCGAGTGATAGTAAAATCCCGTGGTTAGGGAGTGTGGCTTTAGTAAATAGCGCGAGAGTGTGAGACGGAGTCTTTAAATTGATATTTTCTACAGAACATAGTTTAAGTATAATTAGTGCCTAAAAAATCTACAGAGTCCCTTAGGAACACGAAATCCATATTTCGGCCTCTCCTTATTGTTATATTTTCTAAGTTTCATTTTAGTTTTCATTTTAATTCTGTTTAAACCAAGTAATTAGTCTTAACTTTACATCGCAGCAATAGATAACGGTAGATTGACATTGCTTTATGTGGGTTCGACAATCTTTTATATTACTTCGATATTTCTGTGCACTTGCGGACGCATCATATATACAACAATGTCATAGTTGTCACGATACTATGGAGGACCGTGATGACATCTAAAACTTAACGCGCGAACATTTTCTTTTATTTACTTATTAAAATTTTGATATGATATAATCACGGTTAATTGACATGACAGTGATTATATAATCACCCTTTCATGGGTTCGATTATCAGCACCCTCAAATGTTTTATTTCTTTAACATTTAGTCTCACCTTTATATTTTTATTTATATTTAATTTTTAAATAAATGTGATACAATCACGGTTGTGAAGCTGAACCGTTGTGACATATTTTTATTTTTATTTAAATCTTTTAAGTTGTAATATGCTGGCACTTCTTTTTGAAATTTAATTAAGTAACTAATATATCACCACAGTTTTGCTTCTTGAGCATGGCCGTATCTTTCATTCATTTTTATCATAGCTAACTAGCTTGTCTCTTCAGTTTCTATTATTTACTGACAAATGATACGATACGAAACACCATTTCAACTCTAACATTCAGTGCTAAGAAAAGAAACACCATATAAACCCAAACTTTCATCGTTCATCATCATCGTTCATAGTTTTTTTTATAAGTTGTTCACCGGTTCATCGTTTTTCATTGGTTCATCGTTTTCCATTCCTTGTTCATTTTCAATCTGTAGTCATCGCGAGGAGAAAGACAACACACCAAAACCATTGTCATTGTCAAGGAGGAATACAACAACAACACTATCTATTTCAACCCAAATATTTATCTTTACTTAGTCATCACGTTTACGGTACGTAAAACGTTTTTCCCATGCATCTATAGTAAACTTCAGTCTCCATTGTTGTTGATGTTGTTGTTCTTGTTATTTTTATGGTTGTTGTTGAATGTGTGTGATAAAACTTGATTAATCTTTTGTTGTTGTTGTTGACTGTGTATGTGATAATAGATGAAATAATTTGTTGTTCTTGTTGTTGTTGTTGAACATAGATGTCGTTTCGTCGTATTCTTCATCTACCGACAAGAAAACTATGACAAGTGATACTCAAAACAAAAATAAAAGATCACAAAAAAGTGCCATAATGCTTAGCAAAGTAACAAAAGACCACAAATCTGGTAACAAATTTCCTATCATGTTTGATTTGTATTCCAAAGCAGTTGAGGGTGACTACTCTTTGCTTTTTAAGAGCTATGTTACGTTCCTTAGATGTAGCAAAGTTAGTATATTGATAGATGATTGGAAACAAGCACCAGAGGCTTTCAAAGATAGCATATGGGCAGAGGTTAAAGTATTAATTTTAATTTTCATCTATTCGATATGACTTTCTATAATTTCTAATACATTCTTATTGATTTAAATGTAGTTAACTTTTGAGTTTACGGATGATGATAAGAACTTAAAAAAAGGTGGGCAAGTCATGTTGGTACGTGTTGGATGAGCTTTAAGTCACGACTCACGCGTGACTACATTAAGGAGCTGAAGATTAGTCTTGAGCGTCTATGGATGAGATATAGTTATCTTTCGAAGAAGGTTTGGAAAAAATTTGCGAATAGACGTCGTTTTGAGAAATTTCTGGATGATATTTTTTTTATTTATTTTGATAATTTTATGCTAATGATTGATAGATACTAATCATATTTTCATTATGTTTATAACAGACTAAAAGTCAAGCCGGAATACAAAATAAATCAAAAAACATTTACCCCCATAGATTGTCTCGAGGGGGTTACGAGAAACTGGAGAAAACAATGATGGATGAAAAGAAAAACTACAAATGGGAGAAGAGGAATCCATTAGTCGTGATTGCAAATCATCTCTACCGTCAAGGCATGAGAAGTGGGAGAGAGCTCAACTAAGACCAAATGGAGAGTACACCTCAGATGCGTCAAGAGCAGTTGTTGAGAAAATTGTAAGTATGATGTGTTGCTCGTATGTTATATGTTATTTAAATATTGTGATAACTACAATATTAATATTATCATGCATGTTGTGTAGGATTAGTTGGTTGAGGAGGTCTGTGGAGGCTCATTTGTTCTAGAACCACAGCATGATATACTAACAGAAGATATCGGAACAGATGAGCGTGGTGGGCACATTCGTGGTGTTGAAGAAGGCGTCGTCTTGAGATTATTCTTTGATCCAACCATAAAGAGCGCTGAAAACGTCTAATTACAAGCACAAAAAGAAAGTATTGCGGTTGTTGAGAAGGAGTTAGAAGAACAGAGGAAGATGTTAGAAGCGGAGTGGAAAAATAAGAGGAAATACATGGAAAAGTTAAAAGAGTTATATGCGGTATGTGTTTTATCTGAAATGCTAGTGTTTTATCTGAAATGTATGACATATTGTGTTTTATCTGAAAAGTATTGTGTTCAAAACGAATATTATGTTGTAGAGAATAGGTGGATCCTTCCAACAATGTACGATGTAAATGATGATAATGTTGATGATCAAGCTCCCCAAATAAATTTTAAATGTGGTTCTAGCACAAA